TAAACATGTATAATCAAGCCAAGAAGCGAACGCTTAGCGTGTGCATTTATGGCTATTAAAGCCATAAACTGCGAAGGGAGCGCGGATTGGCTCACTTTGAGCGAGACTCAGACTCAGACTCCGAGTCAGACTTTGGGACTGCGGACTTGATCGTCAAGCACTTCATGGTTTTAATTATTGTTTACATTAAATGGTCATGAGTCTGTGCCGAGTGGGGCGAGTGAGGCTAGTGAGCGCATTGGGCGTAATTCGCATTTAAGCCACAACCGTGTACTTAAACAGCGATTAAGCCCTGCATCGTCTGTGTGGCGGTGGGTATCTTTGTAATTAGCCACCTTTCTGGGGTTATCAACTGTGAGAACCACTCTTACACATTTGTGGGGCAACGGGTCAATAGGGAGCCCAACAAATCTGGCACAACTTGATATATTTGGGTACTTCCTGTGCGCCTTTAATTCACTTTTAAAAGTTGTAGCAAATTCTTTAAACTTTTTAATTAAACACTTGCTAGTGGATATATATATATATATATATATTATATTATATATATACATGTATAATTTGCCTCATCATTGGCCTGTGAAATTCTGCACACGTCACTTCCCATTGCGATGAATTTGCATTTTCACCAACTCATTTCAATATCCTTTCGCTTGTTTTCATTGAGTAAACGTTGGACATGGAGCGGGCACAGCCGGGAGTCAGGAGGGGGGGCACCGCAACAGACCTAGACCTAGACGGCGACGGAAGTCATTTATTTAATATGCGCCAACATTATCCTTTATTATGGCGGTTTTTGCATATCTGTGTCTTATGAGCTGGCACGACATCCAATGGATGAGGTCGCGCAACTCCAGCTAGTGAGCCTGGTCTTGACTCTGGGCGGATCTCTGGTCTGGGGCAATGCCAACCTGATTTGAGCTCCGCTGTCTGTGCTCAAAGTGTGTGTTGTGTTATTCGAATTCAATTTTGGTAATGGCTGTTGGCATTTTTGTTTTGCTTCCTAGAAATCAATTAAGTGCTTTAAATTGTTTGCATTGTGTTTCAACTTTAAAATATTGCTGACAATGTGTAGCTTAATTTTAAGAAACATTAGGAAACTTAAAATATAGCTTACACTTTATGGCAATTTACTATTATGATATTAAAAAAAAAACTTTTTCCCGCACAATTTAGTTTTATTTTACCAATTTTTAAATAAGGACAATCTTTTTTGTCTCAAGCAATAAGTAGTCAGTTACCCACATCTAAAGTTCTTGTCCAAAAACCGTTTTCTTTTTGGCACTCAATAAATATCTTAAATAGCAGGGTCAATATCTAAATCGTTTTATGACCAACATCATTGACAATTTTCTGCCCAAGGGGCGAAAACTTTTATCGTCTGGCAGAAAGTTTTTATTGGCAATTTCTTGGTATTTTATATTATATATGCTGTTCATTCAAACTTTAAGAGTTGCAACAATTAAAGACTATGCGTCAATTTCTCGAATGTGTCGGTTAGCTAATTATTTATCTTTAACTTTTGCTATTGTTTTGTTAAGATTTATGCTTCGCTTAATAAATCTCGACATAGTTTAATATCATATTGCGCACTCCCTTTTGAATTATGCACAGATTTGTCGCGCTCTTTGCTGTCAGAGGGGAACAACTAGAATTCCTGTAGTCAAGTCGACACACTTTAGCATATCAACAAATTCTCTCGTATGTCTTCGTAATGCTTACCACCCACCATACCAACCCGCACCAACGCACACTCCCCAGAAAGGGTCTGCAACTTGGCTTCCTTTGGTTCCTTTGGCAATTTTTCTTTTTTTCTGCCTTGGCATATAAATCATTATTCGTCGCTGCGTTTATTTTGACTTTGACAGCACTAACACTTGTGTATGTAAGTGTGTGTGTGTGTGTGTGTGTGTGAGGAGACATTGCCATTATATCATTTTAATGTCTGTTGAATTCTGATTTAAAACTATGCTTCTTTTTTAGGTAGAGCTTAAATTATTGTACGAAAATTCATCGTGGAGTATTCATTTCTAAATTTATCCTTTCCTTGTCAGCCTCTTTCTCTTTTATTTTTTGTTATCACAAACTCAAGCTACATTTGGACCACATTTAATAAATATATTTTATAAATCATAAGCATAATCCAAGCAGCCCATCCTTTTACATTTACAACTTTTCCTGCCGGACATTGCTGGACATTTGCTAAATGACCACAACACTTAGGCAAAGATTTATAATAGCCAAGTTGTTGTTTACTTTTGAATGCACACACAAAGACCCACACAGAGTTTATTTGAAAGGGGATCTCGCAATGCGCACACTTCATTTAGCCGCGTGCCTTTTGGCCCAAACTGAACTCCAAGCCCGCCCAGCCGGGTTGCAAATTACAAGCGTTGATTAGTTTGCTTGGCCCAGCTAAAAAATAATGCCCCACGCCGAGACTCAGTATGGTCAAAAGCGTATAAAAAAAAAAGAGGAGAGGAGGTATTTGTAATAAATTTAAGTGTTATGCTCGGACCCGGCTGCCCCAAAGGCAAAAAGGTAACACCCCAAGTAACAGTTACAGTTTCAGTTTTTAATTTACGACAAATGCACATGTTCGTCTTGAAGTTTGGACCTGAACGTGGACAACTCCGCCCTCCGCCCTCCACCAAAACAAAACTTATTTGTCGATGGCTTTTGCGGTTTTGCAATGCGGCCCTGATTTTCAATTTACTAAAATTTGCATTCCAAAGTGTTGCGTATAGTTTTTTGTTGTGCTCAAAAGTTATGGAATTTTGTGCAACATGATATATGACCAAGCAGGCGGATCACAATGGAGTTTATATATATAAAAAAGAGAGAGAAAGAAAAGTATCAACTACAAATCAACTGTGCTTTGAAGTGTATTTTTAAGTAATGTATTTAAAAAACATTGTTTCTAAATCAAACATTATTATTCTTACGGAAGACAAAAATGAAAACCTTAGTTTAAATGCATAGGTGACTTATTTTATTAATTGTTTCTTTTTTAATTTACTCATTTATTCATTAAGAGTATTTAATGTAAGTGAAATAATATTTATGAAAATAAAAACATATATATAATCATTGCTTTAGTTTCTATCATTTTATGTTTTCTCTCTTCCTTTAATAAATTTAGTGACTATTTACTTATTACCACCTTTTACAATTTAAATAGGTTTTCGTTTCTGTAATATTCGCTTTGATAATTTTATATAACTTATATATTCAATAAAATGTAGTATTATTTATTATTTATCCATTTTTATAACCTAATAATTTCTATATTTCATTAACAAATGAAGTGCATACTCGTATTTATTTATTCTATATTTATCGAATTTTCGTGTCACGCCAACAGTCACGATAAAAGTTCAACTCTAGCTAAAGCTATAGTCTCAACTGGTCCAAAAAGAAAACGAAGAAAACAAAACGTCACCAAAATATTTGCTAGTTATGCTTATCTAGTTGTTTGGCATCGTCTCCGTGGCGCAAGGGAGGACATGCCACCCCCAAGCGTGTCCTTGGCGCCCACCAGCGTACAGGCCATGTCAAATTATTTGTATATAATTCACATCCTTTTGCAGGTCCTGCCATGTGATTTATGTGCATCTCTTAGCCGCACACAATGTGACCAAAAGCTGCTGTATAAATAAATATGCCAAGTCGCTGTCGGGAGACAGAGACATGAGACATGAGACATTCCAACTGAGCAGAGCAAATTGTTCGCCTCAGCACTATTATCCTTTTCGCAGGCTGCTCCTCGTTTTAAGTAATTGCTGACTTTTGCCATTTCAGCACTGAGTTATTCGTTTTCGATACCGAAAATTTGATATTCCGACCACATGCTGTGTTTAAATTGTTATGCCATCTTTTTTGGCACTATCCACCATCCAAAACGGATATCGGAGGTGTGTTGCCATGTTCCCAGTTTTGTAATTGAAAATAGTTTCTGGCACAACCAACAGAGACGTGGAGACAGAGACAGAGACAGAGATAGAGACAGAGGCGTGTCTCAGATTGTACAGGCTGATTAGATATACAAAGGTGGAGTTTGTGAGTATGCAGCAAAGGAAATATAACATAGTTTTTACATTACAATATTATTATAGCTTTAACTCTTCATTTAATTTAGACTTTACAGGCATCAGCAACACATTTTTTTTGTTCTGCATTCCAGCAAGCCCTGAATGAATGAATGAATAAATAAGTGACATGGAACATTGAGACTGGAATGCTTTTAATTAGCATCTATTCCTGAAGAGTTTATGCTCCTTTTTTTCATTTTGATTTCAAATCAGAACTATTTCTCTTTCACCATCTCTCTCTCTCTCTGTCTCTCTCGCTCTCTCTCTCTCTCTCTCTGTTCATAGGCACAATCTTTAAGTTGTGGTAATGCCTATTGAAGAAAGGCTTTACAAAATTATGTCATTAACATTGCAGATTGTGCCTGGACTGGTTCTGATTCTGCTTCTGGTCTTGGCTTCGGCTTAGGCTCTATCTAAACTGAAGCTGAGACTGGAGAGTCATTCAAAGATGCCAGCCGGTTGTACAATCCTCAATAATGACATATTTTAATTGCAATTCGAAATTGTTATTGGAATTGTATTGGCATTTTATGCTTGTAAATAGCTTGCGATAATTATTTCATTAGATGCGCTTCTTGTAGTGCGATTTCTCAATACATCGATAATGGTAGTTGTTATTGTCTTTTATATTTGTGTGTGAAGTACAAAATAAGATGTTTCAATTTAATATTCGGAATAAATCTCAATTTTAAATTCAACAAGCTCAAATCTAGCAACTAAAATAGACAGAGTTTTGTTTGAGTATTCTCAAACTGTTTAACGAAAATGCGAAAATTTCCAGAAAATGTTAGATACGCTTGCGCAGCAAATTTATTTACAGCCGAAACGAATGAATTTTAAACAAATGTTTCAGCATTATTTCAAGTTTCGGGAACTTATCAGATATTACAGAGTTATAAACCAGTAAAGATGGACTTAAAACTGAGCTGCTGTTTGGGTTTACTTCTCGCCTTGCTTCAACTCTTCGCGGACACAGCTGGGGACTCAATTCAAGTGGACGAAAACAATGTGCACAACATAGCTCACTCCAATGAACTGGTTCTGTTGCTCTTCTATACGCAGCAATGCCAATTTAGTGCGAACCTGTTGCCAATCTTCGATGATGCCGCTGATGAGTTCCGATCTCTATTTGGTGACTCTGGCAAAGTGATGCTGGGCAAGGTCGACTGCCACAAGAAAATGGAAATGGCTCGTCATTACAAAATATACAAATATCCGACGATAAAGGTCGTGCGGCACGGGTATGTCGGAAGGCAAGAGTATCGAGGACAACGCTCGTTGAAGGCCATTAAGCAGTTCGTCTTCAAGGAACTGCTGGATCCCATCGAAAAGTTTGACTCTTTGAACGAGCTTAAGGGATTGGCCAACTCAAAATTGATTGTGACTGGTTATTTTGAGCACAAGCATCACACCGAATACGAGATCTATCGTAAGGCAGCGAGCAACCTTAAGGACTATTGTCAGTTCTATGTTAAGTTCAGTAAATCGCATGTGCCAAATAGTATAACATTCAGAGGGGATTTGGTTAATACATCCCATATGGAGTTTTTGGGCAATTTGTCAAACTACACCAACGTACTCCGTTGGTGCCAGCAGAACTGCTACCCGGCGGTGCGTGAACTGACATTCGAGAATGCCGAGGCGATCACGGAGGAGGGCAAACCCCTTGTAATACTCTTTCACAAAAAAGAGGATATCGCAGCACCGAAGGCATTCGCCAAAGTCGTCAACGAAGAGCTACAAGCTGAGCTGGATAATCTCATTTTTGTGACTGGGGATAGCGAAACTTTTACACATCCGATCCGTCATGTGCATCTGACGGAAGCGGATCTGCCTTTCATAGCCATCGACTGTTTCGCAAGCATATTTCTGTTTCCCAACTACAAACATCTCCACATTCCAGGCAAGTTCAAGCAGTTCCTTGCCGCATTCTACAGAGGCGAGCTGCACAAGGTTTCACCATTGGATAGCGAAGAGTTTACTGATCAAAGCGAGCACCAACTGAATATAGTTGAATTTCAATCGAAGTTCAAGGAACTAATGCCATCGAAGCTTCGTTATACGTTCGCCAGAAATGAATTGTAATACAAAACTGAGCAGACCAAATCAATTATCAAAAGTCAATAAGAATGCATTTTAAGAAATAAATAATTAACTCGAAATAAATAAGTGCTTATTTTAATGTTCTAATTCTGCACCCTTATTTTAAATTTGTGGTCACTGCACACTCAGAAAAAATCTCAACTTGAATGAAGAAAAAAATTGTATAAGAATAAATTTTGAAATTTTTTAGAAAATTCTTTCTCAAGTCGTAAATTTTTAAAAACTTTCTAAAATTTTTGAAATTATGAAGTCTTAAAATACTAATGTTTAATAATAAAATAATTAACAAGAAGGCAAATGTAAGAATTTTGTTGTGTACACATATAAAATTACCCTCGAAATATGACTATTGTTTTTGAACCCTGGAATTATGGAAGAAAAAAACGGATTTTTATTTTTAAAAAATATACTTTCTGAATATAAAGCTGAGCTACCCTTTACGCCAAAAGTATGGTGATTTTCTAAAAACCAGCGTCATTTTGCGCAGAATGCAGACACTCAGAAGAGGTGCAAATAAGTATGTATGTGAGGAGTAAAACCCTAAACATTGTGGGATGTTATCGCCTAGTTCGGGATTCCCTGCCTGCTTATGGGCGGCAGCGAACAAATCGATCAGCGGCCAATATGGACATGTAGAGCCATTAAAAAGCAACACAATAGGAAGCACGTGTCTACCAAACAGATCTAGATTGCATTCCCGATGGTTCCAGGAACCAGATCAAGCCACAAGGCAGTAAAACAATTCAAAATATTTAAAAATGAATAGCCTGGAAATGCTAATGAACTCATAAGTCAATCAAACACAGAAGATATGGAAGTGGAAGTCGAACTAAAACTGGAACTGGAACTGATTCGAACAGCTTGTGGGAACAGCGCCAGAGAATAAAATACTTTTACTCATAAATTGTCATAATTAATAATAATAAATTTATGGACTTCGAGGTTAGACTGCCTTACAGGGCACGGCCATGCTGTGGCATCCACCAAGTTGCATCCAGTAGGAGTTCTAATGAGCATCAAGAGCGCGTGCCAAAACACAAGTGCCAAATGAGGCACCTTTTGTGTGTGTGTCCAGCTCGCTGCAATTACCGGAGTTTTCCATAGTCGGCTGTCGCCTCGTTTTGGTGTTGGCAGCTGCCCCACCAAATAGGTGTTGTGCCACCACAGAAGCAGCAGCAGCAACACCAACACCACGAACCATGCCCACCATAAATAACTGTCAATAAACGTCAACGTTTTTGGGGTGCATTAACATAGAAGAAGCAGCTAAGCCGATTCCGTTGACAGCTGCTGACGGATGCCCCAAGAAAGAGCACCAGCTGATGTATCTTTGTATCTGTATCTTTAACTGCACAGTAAAATAAATGTTAGTTTTAATTATCTGCCTTTGACAGTTAAGATTTGTGCAAAAATATACAAAACTGTTAAAAGAAACAAGTATTTGTTTCTGTCCGATGTAAATATTATCGTAAATAAAAATTCGTATGTTGCATTTGGAAAAGGTTTTTGGAACTCAAATTGTTTACAGTGTGTACAATTTCGCTGTATTTGTATCTTGTATCTGTGACTGGTCATCCATCGCTGTCAGACCTGTCGTGGCGCAATTGATTTAATCGCCTTTTAATCGCCTACGCCTCACCTGCATTGCTCCGATGCCCAATTACCTGTCTGGACTTGGTGGCTTCAGTGATTCCATCGACTCCATCGTTAGTTACAATTGTGCCTTGGCTAATCATTAGTTTCTGGCGCGGAAGTCACGTGCGGAAGTTTTACTTCATCTTCAAGTACCTTCAAGACTTTCCAAGCCGTTTTTCTTTTTTTGTATTTTATATTTTGGTAGCGTAACATGCAAGTTTTGTATTAAAGCTAATTTGGCTTCCGTTTAACATTTACACACTTTGATTTTCCGCTTGACATTAACCCAAATATTATTTTAATGAAATTTTGTACTTTTTATTAAAGTCAGATTCTGAAATCTAATTACACTAACTAGGTTAAGCTGTTCATATATTAGCGCATGTAATTTATCTTAGTTACATTAATCTTACATTCGAATCTTAGGAATGAATGTTTTTCCCTAAATTGAACTGAAATTAAGTTTCAATTGACATATATAAGCCAATTGCAATAAATATCAAATTTGTAATGCATATATAAAAATGTACTTTTTTTTAAACTATTTCCTTGTAACTTAAGTTTTGTACAACCTGACTCAATATTATAAATCGCTGGAGGTTATCTCCAAATGAAAAGAACACCACAATTTTAAAATAATATTGGTTAGTACTCATTAATAATTATTGTATTGCCAAATCGTAATTTTGCATAATACGATAAATAAATAAAATAATGCTCATTTTACATATTTTTTTCCTTACATAATAATAAAATCGATCAGCTTTCATCTCAACTAAAATAAAAATGGCCAGTATAAAAAACTGAAAGCTTACGAACTGTTATCTTCTGCCTTTAAAGCTTGAACCAATTAACAGTAAGATCTGCAACATAACCTCTTTAAAATCTCGAACAAGGCTAGCTGCAGCTTAAAGCTCGATCAGAGATGGAAGCACAAAAAACATCCAATTAACAGTTACTGAGCAACAAAAAGAAAAGGACGAAGAGAGAGGGACACAGAGACAAATAAGAGTCGCAAATACAATTGCAGTTGTAATTGCAATAGCAAAATATGTGATATTTCAATTAAAAGCTAACGGCACAAGTCATTAAATGACACACACAACATGTACACAACTCTGTAGTATGTCTCTGTTTGTTTGTTGTGCTCAACATATTCAAAGTTGTGAGAGATTCGCGACGGACAATCAAATTGCGCAGATTCCAATTGCAAGTAAAAAAAAAAACACAAACAAAACGTTTTTGTTTAATTAAATTAACAAAATACGCGACCGATAACGCAACGCACAAAAACTCGAAATATTTTGCAGGCCAAAAACTGCAAAAAACACACCAATAACAACACGTGTTCTGAATTGTCAACTAAGAGTAACTCGGAGAGAGCGTTCAATGCGCGACGCGCTCTTAAGCTCGTTGTGCTCTCTCGCTTACACTGGTTATGGGCAAGCCGAGGTGCGCCGTCGCTCTCTTTCACACAGCTCCAATGACGTTGCTTTTTCAAGTCCATTTGTCTTGCTGCTCGCTCGCACACCCAGTGGCAGCCAGTGTGTGGCGTTGCCATCTCGCTTGCGGACTGGTTTCAACCCGTTTCCACCAATCGCAAGCAAAAAGCGGCTCGAACCTGTCTGCTCGCCATATGCGCGCATAAAAAAAAGGCGGAGCACAAAAGCTCCCCCCGCCGCTCCTCCCTTTACAATTTCTCATTTATATGTATCTGTATGTATTTGTGTGTATGTAGGTGCGTCAGCCCTACGCCAGCATAAAGCTGCCTGCGCCATTTGCCGCACTGCCAGCTGCCAGCCAGGCTGTCTGTCAACCAATTTGGCGTCCATGACCAACCATGACGACTCCAGCTCCGACTCCGACTCCGACTCCAACTTCGACTCCAACTCCAGCTTACAAGCCGCATTTTGATATTTCGTTCGCATAGTGAATGGCGCCCACAGCACAACAGCTTGTTCCTGCTTCGGTTCCTGTTTCTGCTCTGCTCCTGTTTCTGAGCAGCGCTCCCGTTTGGCTCTAGCCAATTTTAAAATCTTCAGTTGCTTCGAATGCATCTCATTTCATCTTGTGGTTTCTACTCAGAATTATACGCATAAATATATTAAATTGATCAGTTTTATATTGTTTCAGTGAGTTTTTTCGAATCGAGTGAAATCCGAATATGGTTGCAATTTTTTTTTTAAAGAAGCCGAAAGATTCATTTGAAATGGTTTATTTTCTATTAATTTAAAAATGTTTTTCGCTGGATCCAAGTCAAAATAATCGAAATCTTTCGAGGACTACAGAAAGAAAGTAACGCAAAATAGTTAATATTTTTTTATGCAATATATTCTCTTCGTATTAGGAATGGGTTAGCTGATTTAAAATACACCTCACAACATAAATAATGTTGATTTAGACAAAAAAAAAAATGTTAAACAATTTTTTTTTAATAAATACTTTTAGTTGGCGAATGTTAATAAAAATATATAAAAATAAAATAAAATAAATTATAAAATAAATGCATAATCTGTTGAAAATGTTAATTGCTCTCCAAAATATAAAAAAAATATATATATCCGGCGAAAGATCTGTATGTTGTGTGCTTAATTAAATGTTTAAAGAGCCGTTTCTGTAATATTATTTAAAATTTATATATATATATATATATATATATATATATATATATATATATATATATGTTTAAAATACCTTTTGGGACAGATGAAACTTCTGAACATATTTTGGAAGATTGCCGGCAATCAAAAGACTAAGACTCATTCAGTTGGTGGTCAACACCATCAAAGTTAAGGAAACAATTAACTATATTTCATTTATTCGTCCACCAGTAATAATGAAATAAAATACCTCAAATCCGACGAAAGGTTAATTTTAAAGGTGCTTGACAATCCAATTATATGTATTTTTTTTTATTAAATTAAGAAATATTCACAGTTAAACAGGCACAAATATTTTAAGCAATAGTCTGACAAGAATCTTACAAATTTAATAATTTCAATTACAAATTGCAATGATATCCATTCCTATATTAAACAAATTAAGCAACTATTATAAACTGGCAAAGAGTTTTATTTATTATTTATTTATGAGAAGAAACCGCATAATTATTAGAAAACCCATACATAAACCGAAGTGCTATTAAAATAGAGTTGATAATAATTTTCCCCATTTAGTTTCCCAATTTAATTTCCCTCGAGCTGCTAAAAATTGCATTGATGACAATGCAAACAAGTCAAATGACAGCCGCACTTGGCGATAAGATCAATTTGTGTTGCACGAAAACAAATGGAAATTTGACACGAAAATGGAAAATGAAATGGACTGAAATGAAGAGCAATTAAATAATAAAAAAAAATAAACTATACTTATTGCAGTCTTTGCTGATTGTATGAAATAATCAAATTAACTGATAAGCTGATAAGGAAATGGGAGGGTCAGTTATTCAATTTAGTACTGTTTTTGGTTGCAGTTTTATGCTGAATGCCGTCGGACTGCTTGGCAATAATCGAGTAACTAAATAAAGCAATTTCCAAGTAATGCAAAAATGGCAAGTATTACAACATTGCCAACGATTCTCCTTCGCATTCCCGTAAACAGACAGTGAGGGCAGAGGGAGGCAGAGAGGCAGGCATGAGCTGAACTGGAGTGCAGCGTAATCCCAAAGGTGGCAACGTTGCAGTTGCATTGATTAACTAACTAACCAGCCGTTGCATAATGCCATGCACCTCGACTCTTTTCGCATTTTTTTCGCATTATTTTATTTTATTTTGCTTTTTTCTCATTGTTTTTTTGTTATTTTTAATTTTATTCAGTCACTTTTTCCCCACGGAATTGTTGCAGTTGTCGAAAATCTTCTTCAATTCCGTCCCAACAGCAACAAGAACCACAAGCAGCCATTAGCAGCAAAAAGAGAGACAGAGAGAAAGAGAGAGAGAGAGAGAGAGAGGGAAAGAGCGAGAAAAAATGCTGAACGGCTTCAGCCGTTGCAAAAAATGCCAATCCAAAGGCGAGCAGTCAACAACAACGACAACAACAACAGCAGCGGAAAGCAGCAACGTCAAGTGCTCCAATAAAAATTCTGCCGCCTTTGTCACGCTGCACTGCTCGCACCACCGCCGCCGCCGACCAGCTGAATGTGTTGTCTCGCTCGCACTTTTTTTTTAAGAGCGCGCCTCTGTGCTTTTTGCGTGGCCTGCTCTTGAGCTTTCGTTTGAGTGTTTTTATGTGCACTTGAAATGAATACATGCGATTATTGCCGTAATTCAACCAAAAAAAATGAGCGTTTTTATACATTTTATGTATTTGATTTTGGTTTTTGCTAACGGGGCTCTTGTAGTGTGTGATGGTTTTTTGTTGCAAAAATTATAATTTGAATATTACATGTATTAAAAACTCATTATTGTTGCCCGATCCGCATAAGTTGGTCAATGGGCTAATGTGCGTCCAACTCGGCGGATGTCTTTTCACGTTTTTTGTAAATACCATTTTATATATATTTTTTGTGTCTCTTTTTTTGGCCTTTATGTTTTACGCCCACTATTAATGAAGGCTAGCCATGAAATGGATAAGTTTCACTTGAAGGTAATGGAGATTAAGTTCAGTTTTTATTATTTTTCTCATTTTTAATGCGCTTTACTTAAACAGAATTCGAAAACTTTCTTTTTTACATTTGGAATTAGGCGGAATTGAAGGAAGCTAGAGGAAAGTGAATGCGGAAACTTTGTGTTCCTCACATCCTTCTCTCCAGAGCGCGCGAAAGGACGACGCCCGTCGCATCCCAGACAATGGCGCAGCCCACCACAAAGAAGACGATCGAACGGAATATGGTGAATCCGTATCTGATGTTAGCCATAGTCTGATCGACATCCTCCGGCTCCTTGTTGCCCTTGTCCTTCGGCTTGGGCTTTTTCTCCTTTTCCTTTGGCGGTGGTTGTTCTTTGGGTGGCGGCCCTTCTTCGTCTGGTCGCGGCCCTTCTTCATCTGGCGGCGGTGGCTCTTGCTCGGCTGGTGGGGCATCTCTCTCCTGTGGCGGAGAAGCTTCCTGTTCTGGCGCTGGAGCTTCCTGTTCTGGCGCTGGAGCTTCCTGCTCTGGCGCTGGAGCTTCCTGCTCTGGCACTGGAGCTTCCTGCTCTGGCACTGGAGCTACCTCCTCTGGCAGAGGAGCCTCCGTCTCTAGCGGGGCATCACCTTCATTGTTGTCGCCCATGATCAGAATCCAAGGTTGCAACAAATACTTTACAAACAATTTTCAGTAGGAATTAGCCGAAAAGAAATCATGACACAATCAAACAGTAAAAATTTTCCATTTAAATTGAATTTAACAAGTTCGCCTACTTTCAGTTCAATCAAATTTATAAACCATAAACATAACAAATTCTCTCAAGTTTTAGTAAATCGCTCCAAAATTAAAATCGATCTTTTCTATTTTTTTACAAATAATTTCTTAATATGAGGAAAATTTAGAAATGCTTGCCCTAAATCGACACTTCTTAAAATATGGCGATTTTTAAATTTTATTTTTAGAAATATTTCTTATTAACAAGAAAAGCATTTCTAATAAGTAGAAATGCAAATTTGTAAGATTCAGAAATAATTATTGAAATTTATTGGTTAGACTTTTTGGCTGTCGTCTACCTTAGAGGCAGAATAACTAACAAATTTTAGATTTTTCATATAAAATTTGAATTTATATTAATAAATAATATTAATGTTTAATAAAACATACAAGTAGCACGGAAAGTAATAAAAAAAATTATTTTTCAAACAACAACAACAAATTAGACATAAGAATATGAAATATATATATTTTTTTTTAATTTTTGTGAAAATTCAACCTGAAAGTTAGAAATGCAAACATTCGTTTTTCGAAAATGTATATTTTAGAAATTTACTTTCTGAATAATAGGGTGACTAACCATAGAAGGGTGATTTTTTGGTCAGTGTAGCATTACTTATATCATATCCAAAATTTCTGAAAGCTCTTCATTACAAGCGATCAATCGCTAAGCTTTCAATTCTAGCTGTAAAAAGCCCACGCATAAAACAGAATAGCAGCGACAACAACAACAACATGCTCACTCATGCTCAAAAAAAGAGAACACGGCAAATGCACTCAAGCTAAGCGTAAGCCTAAAAATCAAATCAAAGCTGCTCAAGAGTGCGACGACGTAGCTTAAAACCAAAAGCAACACGAAAAACCACAAACAATTTTTTTCCCTACAACAGCAGCGGCGTGAGAGTGTCTGCCAAAGACAGAGAGAGTGAAAGAGAGAGAAAGAAAGAGAAGGAGAGCGCATGCTATGGCTTTTTGTTGGTTTCTTTGCTGGTTATTTGCTTTGTTGCGCGCGCCAAAAAGGAGTAAAAAGCTGCGCATGCGTCGTCGCTGCTCCCCCCACTCCCTCCTCATAAAAAACGCACCGTCAGAGCGAGAGCACAGCAGCCGTCGGAGCCGAGAGAGCAAAACGAGCTATTCGTGTGTGTGAGTGTGTGTGTGTGCTCGTGGGGCTCGTCGCTGCCGTCGTCGCAGTGGCTGCGATTTGGCGGCGAAGGCATTTCAAAGTTTTTTTCGTCGTCGCACTCAGCATTCGAGTTCGGAATTCTTGCGAGCTGGCAGCAAATTTTTTTTGCCTGCGCCCGCCTGTTAGCTACATAGTAGCTGCTCCACGCCGAGCGCCAAATTGAGCTGACTTGGCCACAGACTACTAATCAGTAGCCACAGTACTAGTATCCAGCATACAGCATACAGCGTACAGCATATATTATTCCGTATCCCGTATCCAGTCTGGAGAGCTCGCGCGCGAAGTTAGCCTTTTTTTGCGCGCTACGCCAAGAATTTTGTTGCAGTCGTCAAGTGCAACGCATTTTCGTCATACCTCAGTTGCAGCTGCTTTCCTGCATTCACAATTAACAAGCGCGCTAAAAGTGCACCACCAACAACAACAACAGCAGCCACAGCAAATGAGCCACAAACCAGTGCAACAAATTGTTAAACACAACAACAACAGCATCAGCAACAACTAAAGAATCCCAGCCAAAAAAAAAAATATATAATTTAAATGTATACGGAGAGAGTTATGTGAATTAATGAATGAATCGCAGGTGAAGTGAATGCATATTGTGACGCCATTTTGATTCTCGACCCATAAACGGAAAAGTGCTCGTCAGGTCTGCTAATTAAAAAAAAAAAAAAAAAAAAAAAAAACAGCATCAATTTGTATGTGTGAGTGTCAAGTAAATAAAATAATTAACTAATTATAATAAATACAAAAATAAAGTATATTGGTTCGAAATTGAGAGAAAACCGTATGCAAAAGTAAATAGAGCAAAGAGTGTGGAAATTTATTATTGCACAATAGAATTGATCTAAACTAAATCATTTTCAAGATAAAACAGTGTAAGCAGTGTATTTGTATTCCAGTATTTCAAATTCATAAGTGATAGATAGCGATATATGATTGAGATCATCAATATCAATATCTAAATTAATATATTTAATTTAAAAAAAAGCTAGACTAGATTTTCATTCATGTATTTTTGGATATTTAAGTCCCCCTAAGCAAAGAAGGAAAATGCTCGAAATAATGGTTTAAATTAGATATATATAATTGAAAGGTTAATGCTTAAATAAATGATACTACTTGTGATAACTGTACGTGAATATATTAAATACTTTTGACCATTAAATATATACTAACCGTGAAGTGAAAAGTTTATTTTGAAAACATCATTGAAGAATCTTTAAATATATGTAGGAAAAGTAGATCACTCCAAAGTTGAGTTGTACTAAGGAATAAAACAGATAAGAGATCTAAGAATATCATAAAATCGTTTTATTTTAGCAGTTCTATATGGAAACTCTATTAAACCCTCTCTTTTTATATCTCTGTTATTTACATCTAGCTGAAGAAACTAGTTCAAATACAGTATTTCTGATGCGGTCTTTAGCAATAATAGAATATATTTTCCAACCAGTAAACCAATTTTAGTATTTAACTCAAATATTCCAAATATATATAGCAAAAAGGATTACAAAAGCAAAATGCCAACACAATAAGAGTGACGAAAATTAAACGGAAAGTCAATAGTGTGATTTCAAATACTAAAAGAGTGTAGAGTGTTGGTTAATGTGCGAGTTGATCAGCATAAATGATTATGCATGGTAGCTGGTACAAAGGAGCACAGCTGGCGCATCATCATCCACACACCGAGTACCACAATCAGTTCCGATCGTATCCCTCGTTCGTTGTGACGCCCTATCACGAGGGACATGCGGCCACGCCCTGTACGCCCACGCCCTGTACACCCTGTACGCCGTGCAGCAGCAGCAGCAGCAGCCACGGACTTCAGCATGCCCAAAACGCAGCCGAGGCGTCGCCAATAATTGTTGAGGGCACATTTGCTGCGGCCGCCGCTGCTGCAGCCGCTGCAGCTGCCGCCGTCGGTTGCATAAATCCAGCAAGTGGAACCGGAACCGGAACTGGAACACGCTCCGGAACGGGAACACTGCTGAGTCCAGCGATTAAAATTGAGCAGGTTTTTGGGGAGGCAACTGCTACATCCACGCTAAACGCCGTTGTCGACGACTATGCCCTGAATCTGGACTGTCCTGTGGAGCATCAGTTTCGGGTAAGTTGTAACTTGTAGTAGTACAGTAGCACTACTTGCCACCTTGCCACACTAGCCACACATGCAACGCTTGCCACCTCGAAAGGGGCGTGTTCCAAATCAATTTTCATAAAATCATCCAATAACACTTAAAAGACACAAAAACAAAACAAGAATAAAAAATCAAAGGGGAGACCACAAAAACAAAAGAAAAACTTGGAAGAAAAAGTGCAAAAAATGACAGCGAGTAAAAAACATGATAACAAACACGCCCCCAAATTGAGACACACATACTTACACACCCTCACAGTAAGAGAGAGAGAGAGAGAGAGAGAGAGAGAGAGAGAGACAGAGAGAGGGAGACAACAACTGCATGCTCTTTATTCCCAATAAAGAGCACAGCGAAGTTTTGAGTTTGTTTTTTGCCGCTCTTGAGCATAAAGCTTGCACTTTGTTTTATGGTCCACTCGCAAGGATATTTTTTTGCTGTTGCGCTGGTTCGTGCACAGGATATGCCATAATTATGCAGCGAAAGTGTTGCTCCATTAAAGCTTTTCACAAAAAGCTTTCAATTGAAATTTACTACTTGAATTGTGCTCAGCACGCTAAGAAAGTATAATCAAAACGGATGCAACAGGTCCTAATCCGTTGAGAGCTTAATATTGGACACGAAATATCCTTTATCCTGCCATAAAGGCAAACAACAACTTGTGGAGCCGATTCAGTTATTTGGCTCAGAGTGCGCACATTTAACGAGGGGCAGGTCAAGGTGTGACAATCCTTGAAGTTTTTGCTTGAGCTCAGTTGTAATGGATAACCGAATTTAAGAAAGAACCAAAATACTGAAAATACAACTAATTACTATCTGAAGAAAATGATCAAAGTGCTTCGGTTCTTCTGATTCTCTCCTATATTTTTTAAATAGTTGTAGAAACATCTCTCATCTTTTGGGTTTTGAATTTGTTACGTTTTTTTTAGAATATGTTTATTAAAAATAAGAACTAAAATGAAGTTATTTTTAACTTGGCTTTCTAATTGTGAAGCAGAATTTTTTTGTTGGTTTTTTCGTAACTGGCTTCAATCAATGAAATGTTACATCTCTTAAGAATAAATGTAATTCTAATAATAATGGGCATCCTAATATAATAATCAACTTATTTTTTTTATATAATATTTTATGTAAAACATAACTAGTGTTCATACGGAGGTGCAAATTTCAATACACGGCATTCGTTATGAGGCATACAACATTGACAAATGAAATTACTTCTGCTTTTTTTGACATCTTTAATAACAAAATTTACAATGTTGAACACCTGCATAAATATTTATTTCTGTTAACTATTGTTAACCATTGAACTAGTCTCAGCTGAGCTGTCTTTGTTAACATTTTAAGCAAATCAGTTCCACAGCAATATTTCTTTAGTAAATACTCGAATAATAACTGAGAGGACTACAATTTTCTCGCCTTTTGCTCCACTCTTCTCCTTGGCATTCAATTTCAATTATTCGCAAACGAATTTCGCTGTCAGTTTTGCGCAGCTTGAGGATGTTGCATGCAACTGGGCAGAAAAGGAACATCTTAAAGGGATACGTTCAGGTTTAGCTGCAGCGTGGCAATATAAGAAGAAGTAGCAGCAGCAGCAGCAGCATATCCTTCGCTGTTATCAGCGATTCTAGCTGAAGGACCACTTGTATGTGTGTGTGTGTGTGTGTGTGTGTCTGAGTGAGTGTGTCTGTGTGTGTGAGTGAGTGTCGTAAAGGGAATATTCGCGTAGCAAGCAACAAACGAAATCCTCGCACATAAAAAAGCAACGCACATAAAAACATATGCTACACGTCCCGTTTCAGGATATTTGTTTTTCTGTTTTCTGTTTTCCTTTTCTTTTCTTCCCTTAGAAGCTCAATGCGCGCATTGCATTTACGACGCAGACGTCGACTGCAACGACGACGCTGGCAGCGCTGCCAGCTCCTTTGCAGTTTGTTCAGTTGCGGGCTAAAAGTTTTCTTGCTCCGTTTGTTAAGTTGTATTTAAGGCGCTTAAAAACTAAAACATGGTAGAAAAAAAAAAAGAAAAAAAAAAAACAAGTCAGCTTAGTTGTTTGCAGGGGGCAAAGGGGCAGGAGTTGCAGCTAATATGAATGAAGGACAACAATCTTACATAATTCAGCAATTATTGATGTACTTAATAAAACTAATATATTAAGAATTATATACATAGTATTATTGAATATTTTGAATATACCTAATACAAAAAAAAATAAAATAAAATATTGCAATTATTTATGAAAAATAAGAAACAAAATATTTAGCAATAAACAATAAATAAATATAGGGTTAACGAGATTAAATATTAAATATGTATATAAATAAATAGTCAAAAATAAAATAAGTAAATAAATTATACGAATAATTTCAGACTTGCAAGTATTCTGAACGAGAAAAATCGGAAAAAATAAAAAGAAAATGTTAGCAATAAAAAGAAAAGAAGTGATTCAGAAGGATAACGAAAAGAGCGCTCAGTAAAAAAAAGAACAACATATAATAAACAAAATGAAGGCAAAGAAATTGGCGCTCATGAAATGTTAACGGCCAAACGCTGACGCTTGACGCCGACGTTGGCGGCGACGCAGGCGTCGCAGCTGGCAGCGCAGCTCGCTTGAATGTTGAATGTTTTTATCCTTTCTTCGATGTGTCGTCGCTGCCGCGCTGCTGCTCCTGCTGCTGCTGCTGCTGCTGCTGTTGCTGCTATGTGTGTGTATGCTCGTGTGTCTGTGTGTGTGTGTGTGCCAGGACATCACACGGTTTCGCTTTTCTTTTACAACTTTTTGTTATTATTTCGTTTTTTGCTCGTCGCCGCCTTTTCCAATGTATTTTCTTTCAGTCGCTGCTATTTTTTGCTTCATGTGAACGCAACAAAAAAAAAAAATAAAATACAATTTCTCTTGCATTTTTTTATGTTGCTGCTGCTGGGTGTGTGTGTGTGTGTGTGTGCGTGTGTTTGTATGTCCTGGCTCTGGACCTGGTCTGCCTGATTCTACTTCTTGAGTTTTCTCTTCGCGCGCGCCATTTTTGCTGCTGCTACTGCTGCTGCTGCTGCCTTCGTTGCTGCTGCTGCTGCTACTTACAACAAACATGGCATAAGTCGCCGGGTTTTTATCCTGCTGCTTGCGCCGCGGTCGACGCCAGCTTCGCAGTCCTCCCCGATTGTTGAATGTGCATGTGGCCTTTGGCGCGCTGCAACTGTCGTTGTCTTCAGTTCGCTTGCGTTTGGCCAAATCCATTGGTCGTCGGCGCGACGTGCCGCGTTCCGCGACGCGTTTACTCCTGCTAAAGTAGTGCTACAACTGCTGCATGTCAGGTGGCGCCACGTGACAAACAAGCACACACACACACACACACACCCCAATTAGAAACGTCATCAACAGCCACAAGTGCCACGCTCTGCAACTGCAGCTACAACTTGACTCTAACTGGGACTCGGACTCTGACTGACAGTGGCAAACACTAAGTCACCCTTAGCATTTCTAGCATCTTTTTTTTGGCCATAATCTAGTGCAATATTTTCAGCTGCTCAGTTTCAGCTTGATTCAGTTGCAATTCTGCTGCACATACTACTTGAACCACCCTTTAAGAATATTACCCTGGTTTATGTGTTACTATGCACAATTTAAATTAGTCAAGCCTTAAAGATCTCTTGAAGCACCTGCTCTAGCTTTAAGGACTCTGGAAACAAATAAAGGGGATGCTTGCCCAGAGCAAATTTAAATGACAAAAATATAGTTGTGTTTAGCGCTAAAGCCGCTTCATGCATTTTATAACAACTTTTAATTGTCAAAAAAACAATATGATTTAAGATGGGGGTAATTTAAAGCTGTTTTCCACTATAGTCTCTATTAATGCCAGTCCAAAGCAATACAATGTATTTACTTTAATTCCGATATAAATGCTTTGATTAAATTAATCAGAATTTTAAAAAAATTTATTGAACTTCTGCCCTTTGTAAATTATACTTTTTATATAATATTATCTTCCAGCCTTTATAAATGCCACTGTTTTTCAATAAAATATATTCACAATTCTGGAATAAATTGTATGGGATGAAAGTAATATGGAAGTTCTACCTTTAGTAAATTATCATATATATTATTAATTTAATCATTTATCAATCATATAATATAATCACAGTCTACCCTCAACTTTTGTGCGAATACTTTTCACTATTCCGAGTACCTTATTACGATGTTGTTTTTGCCTTTAGTTTTTTTTTTATATAGTATGGATTGCTTAACACGCTTTTGTATTCAATTACAATAGTAATAGTGCTTAAGAACTTTTTAACTCATATACGTATTCGCACACACACACACACACATACATAAAATGAAATGGCAGAAGAAGAGAAAACATAATAAAAATCAGAAACATGAGCAAACCGTATATAAGAAAATCAATCTGCCGTGCTGAAGCCCAGGCGAAAAAAAAACCCTTCTGGCTTCCCAGTCGGAGCATACTAGACCAGCTCCAACCCATGACCTAGCCCCACCGACCAGGCAGCAGGACATCGCGCAATTTCAGCTATATTTTTTTCTTATACGCTACGTTTTCTTACAAGAAAATGCTGCAGTGCGCTGCAAATGTATGTCTTTATAACGGCAGCGTTCATAAAAAAGGAGCAAGAAGCAAAAATTATAAAATAAGAAAAAATGAAAAGAAAGCGAAAAAAAAAACAAAGTGAACAACAACAAGAAGAGCAGACGCTGAGATTGCTCTGACATTGCAGGGACGCGGGCAGCAGAGCGCATCAAAAAAAAATAAAATGAAAAAAATAAAAATAGAAAAAGAAAAGCATTCACAACATACAAAACAGTTTTTACACACTCACACACACACACACACACACACACACACAGGGTATACGTGTGTATGTGTGTGTGAGCTTGTGTATATTTCTTTGTATACATATTTGACTGCTTCGCGCGCGCTCGCAATTTCTTTTGCGGCAGCTTCAGCTTCAGCTGCTGCACTTTGAGTTTGTGTTGTTCAGTTGTTGCAAGCTATCCCACGCTCGCTGACTGCATGACAGAGACGGACGGGACTGAGGCAAGGACTCGACACAAAAATCTCACACTCACGTACACTCACACACACGTGCACACACATGGCCCACATGGACAATTTGAGACAGCAACGTTTAGCTGCAGCTGCAACGCGGCGTATGCGTAATATGCATTCAACTAACACCACAACTTTCATCACAGTGTGGAAAAAACCTACAAAACTGATATGATTAACATGTAACATACAATTTATCAGAGAGAGACAGCGAGATATATATATATATATATATATATATATATATATATGTGTGCTGCGACTCACACAAGTGCCCATGCGGAGGCGTATACGTGATGTTGCAAGTGCTGTCAAGCGCAAATTAATAATAATGAGCCCAGCGTGTGTTCTCATTTAAAAAGCGGCATCCTTGCTGCAACGAAAGTTCCTAAAGAAAGTGCAAAAGTTGAAGAAAATGATAAAAGTCTAAATGAAATTAAAAGTATAATAATCGCAACAAAAAGTTCCTAATAACGTAGTGCAAATCATAATTTAAAAATAAAATGGATCTTAAAAATATATATTTAAAAGTAAACAATTAAATTAAATTCAAATAAAGCATAAATCTAAAATGAAATATATATATTATAATATAACAAAATAACATTTATATGCATATATACAAAGTTAAGGAAAGGTATAAGCGGTGTCATATTAAGAATAAAATTATTGGAGAAAACGCACATTTTTTTGTTATTCCTTAAGATCATAAGTCATCTCAAGTTGCTGTTGCTTTATTAAGTTATTTGCTTAATTCTGTAAATTACTTATCATATTTATTTTCTACTTAAATACAATTGAAAAAAAAAATTAATCATTAAAAATTATTAATTACTATTAATTATTAATAATACATATTTTTGTATTAAAACTCTTTAAATCTAAATGAATATTTTCGATAATTTAATTCGCAACATTTTGTAATTTTCCGTACAACTAAAACAGCGATTTAACTTTGTCAGACTATTTTCAATTGTTTTTATAATAAAATCATCTAAATCATCTAAAATACTTTTAATTGCAATGACGACAATCTAAATTTCAAAAAATCGTTTGAAGCCACAAAATGTGGAAATAAATGGAAAATAAACGTCAACAAATCAACTGAAGCGTCAAATAAATCATACACAAATCCGCAACAAGCTGTAAACCAAGCTAAGTGCACAACCACAAAAAAAAAAAAAATCTAAAACCAAATTAAAAAGGATAAAAAAAATATAAATAGAAAAAAAAACATGTGGAAAATGCCTCACCAATTTACGCGATATAACTTTTCAAGGTCATTTGCTGGCAGTTTCGTCTGGTGGAAATGCAATGATTTGTTGTTTTTCTTTTACAAAACTGCATCTAAAAATACAAAATAGTGTTGGCAAAAACTCGACGCGTCACAGCCACAAATAAAGCATACAAAAACTTTTTTATGCAACCCCTTAAATAAAATAAAAGTTGCGCCAAAGAAGTAAAGAATACAAGGAAAAAATAAAATAAAAAACACAAACGGGGCAAAGCTCAACAAAAAAAAGTTTTTGTGTTTATTTGTTTTTCATACCACTTGTTGTTTTTGTTTTCTGCCTGCGAGTCGTTCACAGTTGTGTGTGAATGTGTAAATCGAAACAAACGGTGCACGAGTTAGGCAAATTGTCGGATAGATGCCACCAAACACCAGCGAAAGTGAAATTGAAATTGTCGCAAAGAGCCACGAAAAAAGTGTTGCCTACATTCGAGCGTCATCATGCTTAAGGATCAGTTGCGACGACGTCGCGTCCAGGATTTGAGCAGCTACATGGACGCCCTCAACAATGCCCCACCCACTCCTGCAGCATTTCTTATGCCTGCAGAATTTTACAAGAGCCTCTTCGCCAGCGCCGTGCTTCAGCAGCAGCAGCAGCAACAACAACAGCAATGCGATGGCAGTCGCTGGTATCCCCAGACTCCCTCTCCAACGCCTCCCACTAAGGCAGTGTGCAGTGGCACGCCACCTCCGGGGGCACGCTCACATCTGTCGAGCAATTTGTTGTTCTCCGCTGTTTGTGCGGCCGCCGTCGAGTCAGCAAAGCGCAGTCATCTGAAGGCAGAACTGAGGCCGCAGGACGCAGAAGAAAATGAGCAGCATGTCCTTGAAAAAGTTGCAAAAGTGGAAATTGCAGAGCATGTTAGTAAAAATGTTAGCGGAAAAGTTGGCCAACTACTTTACAAAAGTATTTTATAACTGAGTGTTGATTAAATAAAAGACCTACATCATAGTATCAATTCATTTAATTCACTTAACAATTTTCAGAATTCAGGCAAACTATAAAGAATTTAGTATAAGTAAAAATTAAAGCGCAAAAAAATGAGTGCTCAACTTTAAGATGAATATATTATTTCATTTATTTGATAATATATTTTATACTACTAAATAAAGCTCAAGTAGATAAAAGGAGATGTTTATCCCCCCGCCTAAGCTATTACTAAATATATATTTTAGTTTACTTTAACTATAAAAAAATAAGTTATAATAATTGTAGCAAATACAAATTGAGCATTGCTCAACTTTAAAATTGTTCTTAATAAATTTATTCTCGCAACTGATTTTTGTTTTATTTTATTTATTTATTTATTTTTTGAACTCCAGTGTTGATTTTTGGTTTGTTATTTTGATTGTATAGTTTGAATACATACAGCGGTGGATAGATAAAAATATGTTTGCAAGTATATTGCACAAAAATGTCTAAAAACGATTGCCACATCTTTTCATGAATGTTTTTACAGGTTTGTTAAACTTTATTTACTTTAGATTCTTGGTATAATTACAAGTGGAAAAAATTATCAAAGAATTTTGAGTTACAAGCTCTTAATTTTTATATACAATTTTCTCTCCTTATCGCTAATGCATCTAAGCCATAATTAGCTTTAAAATCCAATTAAAGTATTTCAACTTAAAAAAAAAATGACCCGTCTCAAACTCTGAATTCAACCCTTATATGCAATGGAAGAAGCGTAAGAAAAATATATAAAATTTGGCTTGTTTGTTTTCGCTAATTATGGGTAGCCCGAAAATTGGCTGTTGTTCTGTGGCGACGGCAACAACAACAGCAGCAGCAAGAATAACTTGAAAAATCATCAAAAAATCATTTCATATTTCATGCTCAATGCAAAACCCTTTTCACCCAAAAACAAAACAACACATTTTTTACTTTCGCAGAAACCCCAACATAACAACAACAACAACAACGGCTACGGCTGGTCAACAAGCGAAATCGTCAACAGCAACAACAACAACAACAATCAGCATTCCTCACACCAAACCGCCGAAACCGGACCCGGGTCAGGACTATTGCCGGGCTCAGCGCCAGCGACGCCGCCAACGCCGCCAGTTGATGCCAGCCAAGCGACTGCGGCCGGATCCGCAATTAATTTGAATCAACCCGCATCACAAACACGTCCCAGCTACGGCAATTCCATAAAATCACCACCGGAAACAGGCGCGCAGTCATTAACGGGCGCCGCTGCCACGTGCAAAACTCACGATAGTAGCAACAACAACAACAACAATAACAGCAATTGCAACAGCAACAGCAACAACAATTCAACTGCTGCTGCTGTGGCCGCCGCCGCTGCTGCTGCCGCTGCTGTCAACATGCCGATCGGCAGCGTGCAGGGACAGAATCCCACCCAGGGTCTCGTCCACTGGATGAGCGCCGTGATGGCCGAGCATATGACCGGACAGACGCATCACGATCCCAGCGCCGCAGTTGGCATGCACTACATGTGGAATGGCAATGTCGATGTGAGTATCAATCAGCACCAAACTATAACCCCTGACCCTGATCAAATAGAAAAGTTCTTACTCTCTACGCTCATAAAAAAGACGTCAAATATATATATATATATATATATATATATATATATTCTTGATCAGTATTAATAGCCAATATCGATGTGAGTGTCGCTCAACATGTAGTGCCAAGTCCCTCTAGAGTTTTTACTCATTATACTCTATTATAACAATACACCCATTTCAGTCTTGAGTTCCTGCCTGAAAACATATTTACTTTCCAAGATATCTCAACACTGTCTGCAAATTAGTTATGCACACATAGCATATGAGATGATTGGATGATAGGAGATATGGCAGAAGGGAATCCAATTCCGTCTGGCAACACAAAGAGACAAATCAAGGCTCAAGTATGTTGTTTTCTCCCCTGCTGCCAACCGTTCTAACCTAACCTAACCTAAGAAATCTCAAATCGCAAATCCATATTGTTCTGATAAAAAGTGTTATCAACGGAATTCTACATAAAATACTTGGATACCATTCAAATAAAGAGCAGCGTCTTTAATTTAATATTTAAAAGTCTGCATGCCAAAGATTGCTCTTCATTTTATTTTATTTCTTTTTGTTTTTTGGTATGGCAAAGTTTTACAAAGTTGAGCGCTTAGCTCTGCAGTTGGCAGTTGGCAGTCACCGAGTGGAGCCTACCATGGCGCTGGACTATATCGGTGTTAAATGTGGGAGCGCTGTGGGGATAGTAAAAGCGGGTGACAGCACTGGAGAGCTCATAATTAATATGCGCTGGAACTTGTCGAGCTAAGTGAATTAAATGAGCAAATCTAAAGAACCAAATTGAATATTTGTCGACCAGAAAGTGGTAGAAGATGGACTGATAATGATGTCACTTAACTTTTACTTGGGACGCAGTTCTATCTTTTACCAAGTTTAAGAACATTATTCATAGAACATTTTATACAATGGATATGACATTGGCATAAATAAAAATACCGAAGCTTGGGTAAACTTAAATCTTCTTCACGCTGTGATAGACTTGCCATAGGCGTCTTTTTAAAACATTTAATGCTTACCTACGTGATTACAAATTTGGCTTATATTGAAATTCGTTTATAATTTTAAGTAGATTTTCACTATAGAGCCTTAAAAATATTGAATAATGAACGCAAAACGAAGCACAAAAGTGTATTTTAAAAAGTATTTCCGATGACATTTTTCAATTAAGAAAACTACATTTGCGTATCTTCTTTAAATCTATTATGATGTTAGAATTTAACATGCAAATTTTTAAAAACTTTTAAATAAGAGATAATTTAAATTTGATCAAAATCGATGGCCAAATATACTCTGCTACTAAAGTACAGCGACCTTATCGCTTGGCCAAACACATCCCAACCAACGTCAGGTTAACTCATTACCGCACTACCCGTACTGCTACCATCTAGCTCAACAATCACTCCACACTGCCACCAAAAAACGCATGGTAAGGCCAAAACCCATCATCCAAAACCCAAACCCATAAAACCTAACCATGCTCGAACCCTGGTTGAGCAGCCGCTGCCAAACCCGCTGCACTTTCACTCGACGAACTTCAGCCGACAACTGACCAGACTCAAACCGTTTCTGTCTGTTGCCACGCGAATAGGAACGAGCACAGGAGACATAGTCCCAATCCCTGTCCCCGCCCTGAGCCGGTCTCGTTGCCTTTTCTTCTTCCAGCTCCAGTCTAAGTCCACCTCAGTAAGAACTCTAACCTCGTTCCTCGACTACCCCTGCTCAGCGCAAGCAGACGCGACGATACAAAAAAAAAAAAAAAAAAAAAAAGATATCCTTTGAGCAGCATCATCCTCCCAATTTTTTAGTCCTTTTTTCCCCGCACCGCACACATTTTTTTTACCTTTTCTGTCACTCCTTCCATGGATATCCTTGCTCTTGACTGCGTTTCGCTCTCCGCGTGCCACAAAGCAAATAAATTCGAACATTTTTTTGTTGTTGCATTTTTTACTTTGCGGGTCTTTTTTCATCCGTTTTTGAAGATGTAAACAAGTTTTTCTTTGCGTGTCGCGGCAAACTTTGTTAGTGTGTGTGTGTGTGTGTTTTTTTTTTTTTAATCTAGATTTCTTTCGCTTTTTATTCTTTTCAACTCGCTTTCTTTAAATTGGCTTGCTTTTCACTTTTTGGTGCGTTGAAATTATTGTTTTGAATGGAGATTGATTGTCTCCAAGGACAACATCGCGTCGAACCGTGCCACAAAAGGTTCCCTCCTCAAAATCACTCGATAGCGCTTACTTTGCCCCGGCGGAAAAACAATTTAAAACACGTCGCGCCCGACTACTTATTTTTTAAAGGATTTCCGTACTTAATTAGTTTTTAAAGTTCAACAATGGACGGGTGTTGAAGTCAACAATCGCCGAGGCAACAGCACAGATCTATTGTTTTTGTTGTCACTTGCATTAGTCAAATTAAGAGATTGCAAGTGCTAGCCAGCGATAGAGAGAGATGGAAAGTTTTCTAATTAATTTTGAAAGCAATTTCACTTAATTTCCTTTGCTTAAAGTCGAGTTGACGGGCAGTTCAAACAAAACCAATCCCATAATACAGAAATGTGTGAAATTTCCACTCTTTTTTAATGAGAATATAATATATATGAGAGTCCTGAAATATGCCATTCTAGAATATCTCCACTGTCTGGCTATAAAGATTGACTCAGTTTACAATAGATGATGGCAACAAATTAAATCAGTTATATTTTTAAATATTTTATTTCTAAGCAATTCCTTAAGCATATTATTTAGAAAATAGACGAGACGAAACGAAAAATATATATCTAAAAATATCAGCATTATATATATTATATTTATTACATTAAATTCAGCAAAGTATGCTCAATAATAGGTTACTTTAAATTTCCAATTAAAAAGTCACTGAGGCTGTTGTTCCAATGTGCAGTCGGGAGTGAAGCGGAACAAAAAGAACACCCTAAACCACAGCACGCCATACAACAAAGCATTGCAATTAATACTTATATACTTCAATTAGAAAAAAGTCAACGTGACGCTAAAATGAAAAGCAGAAAAGGAACAAGATTGAAAAAAAAAATGGGGAAAAAAGTGAAAATTGAAAGGCTAAGCGAAGCAAAAGCGCAACATGGATTGAGGCTAAAAACTGGACTGAAACTGACTAATGGTGCCAGTTGTCAGGGCTGCTACAGTTCGAATTCGAAACGGTATTGGTTTGGGGGCTGGGCAGCAGAAGCAGCGAGTTGAACCAAAAAACCGCGAGAACCGCTGGCTACTTCAATTTTTAAAGTAATTGCAATAAAGTTGAACAAATTTGCGCACAGCAGCAACAACAATGCCCACGAAATTCTAACCTCAGGCCACACCTCAGGCAAGGGAGTGTGGAAGGGAGTGTGGCGAGGTGGCGTTTTAGTCAAACATTTAAACATGGGAACAACACAAAAAAAAATGATTTTTCCTAGCCGACTAAATGCGAAAAAAAATCAATAGAAGCAGACAGCAGCAACGTGAATAAAAAGATGAAGGCGAAAGAAGTTAAATAAAACCAAAATGTAAAAATAAAATAAAAACAACTTCTACAAAATAGAAAAAAAAAAAAACAAAAAAAAACACCGCTACAAAATGTGAAGTTGAAGTCTGGAACGGCCAAAAGGTTGCTACAATGTGCAAAACGCGCTTTGCGAGGAGTTTGGGCCTAGAGTTCTGGACCTGCAATTGCAAAAAAATTCACGTTTTCCGCCTATTTTTTTCTTATTTGCGCTAGACAGCGAACTGCTCATAGAAACTGCACCACCCAAAATAAAAAAATAAACCCCCCCCCCAGTGGTCAAAGCGCCCAGCGCGAAAGTGTGAGCGCTGCAGTCGGCGTCGCTGCCGCTATGAAGGGGTTAAAAAAAATGTTGTTTTGATTTTTTTTCACTAGCACGGAAATATTTTTTCCCCGAGCTCAACTCTTCCAAATGTTTTGGCGCTGGTCAGCCAGAGAGAGAGACAGAGAGGAAGAGACTGAGAGAGAGCAAGCTTAAGAGCGAGACAGCAATAGAGCGCCGCTGCTGCTGCGCTGTACCAATATTACATCTTTTTTTTTTGCCACTTTTCTTTTGAAATTTGCGTTTTTTTTTCGAAATTTCGTTTTGTTCTATTTTGCTGCGTGCTGCTGCAAACCGAAAGCGATGGCTGGCCGGAAGTTGGCGTGGGCCATTCGACGCCTTCTACTACTACTACCACTTGTTGTTGTTGTTGCTGCTGTTGCTGTTGTTGGCAGACAGCCTGGCTGGCTGGTTGGCATGTTGGTTAGAGAGAACTTCCGTTCATGTCCCTGGCGCTGGCTCTTACTTCTGGTCATCTTCATCAGCAGCTGCAAACGCAGCATCGCACACACTCTATGCGTATGTGTATGTGTCACTGTGCGTGTGGGTGGGTGTGTGTAGCTGTGTTTGCATTTGTTCTCTTTTTTTTTAGACTACTTTTTCGTTTGTCCACCTACTAACTAGTCGGAGCTTCACATACACACACAAACACACACACACACACAGCTCACACCAAACTCTTCAAAACTGAGGCAGAGCTGGAATATAGTGCAACTAAAAGCAGCAAAAAACTAACGCTACGTGGATTACACACATGCACACCAACACCAACACCCACACCCACACACACATACCAACTTGCTCCTTCGTTTTCACACGCTGTGGAAACTCCCCTTGCGCTATGCACAATTTTTTCTTTAGCCAGCTTCTTTTTTTTTTTTTTGGTATTTTTGGTGGCAGTAGCAGAAGCCGCCGCACTTTTGCCGCTCGTCAACGCCGTCGCTTTGACACCTTCAATTGTGTGTAGCGCGGTTTTCTATTTCAATTGGTACTCCCCTATATTTAAACCAATACATATACTTTTTGAATATCACTCTACTTCTTTTTGACTTGTTCCTTTTTTATATTTGCCATCCCGACTTTATATGTCAACGATTTTAAATAGCATCAAATCAAAATATGAGTGACAGCCCCCTATGCGAATATAGAATTTTGTTCCATATAAAAACAAACTCATAATAAATGAAATAAATTTTAGTTTTCATTTTAAATTGATAAGTTGATGGTGAAGTAAGGGTAACAAGTCACCTAACTAAACTAGGGATATATAGTAGAGATCTTTGCATGTTTTGTGAAAGAGAGGAGGAATCCTCAATGCACATCCTAGCAGAATTTTTCGCCTTAACTAGAAGAAGACGCAGCAGCCTAGGGATGCATGTTTTGAATTTCAGAGACATAGAAGACCTCAACCCAACAAAGATCCTCACATTCGCGCGGGAACTGGGGCTGATGGAAGAGATATAGGCTCAGAATGGGGCACAATAGATATAGTAGGTCGCGGTGCAATTCCCCCCCAATAATAATAATAATAGTAAGGGTATTAACTGTACAATATCATTTGAATAAATGTATGTATTGAAACTCATTTGTTATTTATGAAAGTCTTAGCAACATATCATAAAATATTACAGGGATTACAAATTGCTTTCATTCTATATAAAAAGTTGTTATAAAAGTAATGTCAATTTTCGCTACTTGCCCAGCTCTCCAGTTCTCATAATAATATACTAATTGCCTTTTTCTCATCTCATTTCATGAAAACACAACAATTTGTGCAGCATGCCAAGGATATTAGTGATTACAATCTTTGGCCACCGACGCCGCGCTCGCATCAGCATGCCAGCGAGCATCATCCGATGTCCCTGAAACAGGAATACGAGGTAAGTGGTGCCAGTGGCTAAAGTGCTGTTAAATGTGCATAGATTGTGGGCATTAGTCTATGGCACATACATAAAAAACGATACAAACACCACCACCAACAACAAAAACAACGGAAAAAACAAAACCGAAGTCAAACAAAAAAATTTCTAAAATTCGCGTGCCTCGTTGCCGCTTTCGGATTTGTTGCTTTTTATTTAGCTCCCAACTTGCCCCATGCTTTGTTTTGTTTTGTTGATGTTTGCAATATTGTATACAAATAACTGTATTTTTCTGTCCTTTTTTATTTATTGCATTTTGTTTTGCTTTTCGTTGCGGCTTTTTTCTAAACATATCGGAAATGTTTAGGCAAAAGCAGCCGCTGCATTTATTTAGACAGGTTTTTTTTATACATGGGAACTTGGAATTTATTTCATTTTATTTGCAGTTTGTCCTAGGTCATGTCTGGCCCAGACAAAGAGGCAGATAGAGGGCATAAGAGTGGGTGAGGGATGCTCTCGAGGCTTTTAACCTATATTCACAATTTACATGCAATCGAAAGCAGAAGTCAGAGCTATATTTTTTTATGTTTCCATTTTCATTTCTTTTTTTTTGTTTTTGTTTTATTTACTTTTCCTCCACATCCATTCACACTCTCGCTTAGAATTTACATATATATTTGCCACGCTTGGATTTGGTTTTCGCTGATATTGATATTGATTTGTTTTCTCGTAAATTTTGCTATTTGACGTGGCTTTTTTATTAATCATAAATAATTTTGACAGCTTTGACAAAATTTGGTTGAGAACTTAACTTTTGTAATGTTAATTTATATTATTTTATTGCTATTTTTTTTTAAAGACATTTTTGTTCATGTTTCAATTTGAGCTTTTATGCGCAATTATTTGCAATTTAAATATTTCAAATTAGTATTCAAATAATCAAATGAGTATGAAATTAACGTAGAGCAACAACGATAGCTTTTATAGTGAGTTTAAATATTGAAATAAGATTGGGTCTGCCAATTTTTATCAAGGGCATAGGATTTTTCATCTCCAGCCAAAATTAATATAATATTGATTTTCACCTGTCCTTAAAGAATTATTAAATTAAGTTTATAAAACAGACAACTTAAAAAATCAAATATAACAACTCTGTTGACTCTACATTTTCAAGTGCCTGGTTGATATTTTAAAGCTTAAGCTTAAGCCAAAAATTTTTTAAAATTGTCGGTTTAATAGCTTATTAATCCAATTCTAACAATCCTTTCATGACTTTATTTTTTAGGCCAAAATGAACGATCACCACCATCACAATAATCTGCAAAAAGGTAAGTAGCGATACCAAATAGAACTGAATCGAACCTCGCTCTTTCCCGTAATGACCTGCCCCACACTGTGTGATACCTGACCCAGACCACAAAGTAACTGCAGTTGCTTAGTTTGGTGCTCCATTGGTTAATTAATTGCTCAGAAAAACAACAAACGATAATCACGAATCTCGAGCAGATAGCAGACGGCTTTTGCGGGGCGCGCGCGATTTGCAGATTTTAATCTGGCATAAAAATGCATACGTTGCATATAAAAGTTAAATTGCAACACGCGTGCGGCATGATGTTGGCAAAGACAAAAGCAAGCGGACAATGTGGTCTGGCCAGATACACCCCAGATACTCCCACGAAAAGTTGACCTTTAACTGAAAGAACAGCAACATCAGCCACAACAACAATTGGCAACAAGCTGCTTACAACATGTTTACATAAATTCCTAAAATGCAAACAACATCTTTGTGTAGCCCCACACAACAATCACAATAACAACAGCAACAACAACAACAGCAACAACAACAAGTACAACGGCGGCAACATTGACAGCAACACGCTCCAAAAGGGTTTGCGGTAAACGGGTTCGGGTTCGGGTTCAGGTTCGATATCAGTTTAACTCCGTTGGCGGCAATGATCTCGGCCCGATAATGTCAACGCTAGGCAATTGGCCAATAACATTGCTGCTGTTGATGTTGCTGTTGCTGCTGCTGCTGCTGATGCAGATGCTGATGGCGCGATAAGCATCTCGGCAACATTGTTGCCAACAATGTAGATGTAGATGTATCTATGCGATGCATTGGCTCTTACTTGTATGCCTGTTCGCTTTTACCTGTACAAATTAACAATACGGACGGCTACAACTATGTTTGCCGTGACTCAGAGTCCCGGCTAAAACTTGGCCTGTCTGCAACTATTTTCTACTTTGCAGTAGCTCATATTGTTACACTAAAAAAAAAATAGTAAAGTTGGAAAATATGCCTAGTTTACATATAAATTTCTTTAAAAAAAAAAGATGGTATCTTAAAAAATGTATTTAATAAAATGTACTAAAAAATTAAAAGAAAATTCTCAAAATATTTTAGCTTTTAATATGTTACAAAATAAAGCCAACTAATTTTTGTGTAGTTGCTATATACCGATTGTGCGAACTATCTTTTTTATTTATCTTTATTTTACCTTATCCATTTTATTGCTAAGTGTATCTCTTGTCCTGTTCATTCAGTTTAGACAATTTTGCCGAGCTGGCGACATTCGCCCTCCCGTAATTAACACTAACAATGTTTGTGCTGGCCAACTCACTTGAGGAGGAGCCTTTGCTGCCAATTTTGGTGGCAACGATTGTCTGCAAATGTTTTATTAGAAATGCTTTTGACATGCCAGCATGGGGCGCCCAGTGCTCCAGCTGTAGTGGCCGATAATCCTCGACAGGCTGGCCTCGACTCGCCCGTTCAGCTCATCAGCAGATTCACACAATTTTTGCACGCAAATGCGCTGGGCACTCAATTATAGATAGATGGTTAGGTGGTTTGATGGCTTAGATAGATGGCATCCAGACATAAAAAGATATTTGAAAAAAATGTGAAACTATTTTCACATAAACTGTAACTCAGCTCGTGAGCGATTTCCCAGTGGCAATCAGAGCGGCCAAGTTTAATTAGAGAAGCCAGCGAACTTCGTGCGCCACAGGAGCAGGCAGTGGGGCATGTGGCAAGCAGGCCTGTCGGCAGGTGGCAGCTTGGCTGCGAACGTGATGTGAGCGAACGTCGGCAACTTCAACAGAGACAAGCGGCATGAGTCGACTCGACGCGACTATGCCAGACTCGACTCGACTTGACTCGACTTGCACAGCTAAAACTGATGGACAGCCGTGGCGCCATCTAATGTTGCCACGGCTGACACAATTCAACAGCAACTGAAGCAAACAACTCAATTGCAGGTCACTTTCTGGATGACAATCGTCTGGAGCATCATGCGGCAGTCGCCGGACAAGGTAAGTCCGAAAACCCCAACGCACATAAAGCTTGCCTTTTAAGGACCCGTAACAATTGTCAACAATATTTCTAATACTTTTTTTTGTTTTTGGTGAGGGGAGGGGGGAGGGGGCAGTGCAGAGTTTAAGAGGAACAATTCAGATGTTGAATTAATATGCATGACAAAACTCTACAAGCGTAGGTTTGGCATTAATACAAAGAGAGCAAAGACAACAAAATATTTCTTAGGAATTACAAGTTTTTAGTAACGCTAATGGTGATCAAATTTTATAAAAATAATAAATGGGAAATTTCTTTAAGTATATGCTAGGATTAATTCCAAATACCTAATTCACCTCTCTAAATATAAGTTAAAATACAGAGATGAACTTAAGTTTGGTGGTTCACAAAAAGAGAAATGTTAACTTAGAGAGTACAATAGTTCTTTGTTTTATGTCTTCTCCAAATAGTTTTACTTTTTATTGCTGACTCCACTTCAATTAACCAAACTCTCAACTTTACGTAACAGGTAGTCTGGGCCTTGGTGGCGCCACCAATGGCGCTGGCTCTGGCCCTGGTGGTGGCAACTCTGGCTTAGGTGGCAGCTCGCATCATAGCAATCATGTGTCAGCAGCGGCTGCTGCCGCTGTGCATCATCATAACAACGCCGTGGCAGCGGCATCGGCTGCCGCGCTACTTGTCGTGCCCCAGCCCATCAATGCCAGTAAGATGGGCGGACCTGGGGTGGGTGGCAGCGGTGGACATGGACCCGCAGGCGGCGGCAGTGGACGGAAGTATCAATGCAAAATGTGCCCGCAGGTGAGTTGTGGCCAGAATTCTATCTGCTGTTTTTTTTTTGCATTGCTCACAATCGTTAAGTTAAAGCCAAAGGTTTAACAGTAAAATGTTGTCTGTCCGACGGTCCTTGAAATTGCAAATTGCTCGCCATTTAGCAAGGCAAACGTTGCTGGGGACTTTGGAACGCGAGAGGCGACACGATGCGACGGCGTTTGTTTACAATTTTCCAGTTGATTTGCTTGGCACAAAGTTTCGAATTTCAGACGGTCAGCCCCTGCTTCCTCGCACGGCTCCTCCTCTTCCTCGGTGCCTAAACGTGTCCCCGTATCAAGTGCATTTTTTCCCACAATTCATTCAGCTTCAATTTTTGGCGGCCTACGCACTTGGCCAAAACTGGCCAGAACCGGCATTAATGACACTCAAGCAGCGGCCAACAGATGCTGCAGCTGCTCGTAAAATGTCAATTAGCTTCGTCCTATATATATATATATATATATATATATATATAGATATATATATGTGTATCTGTATGTATGTGTGTGAGTCAGTTTGTATTCGTCAGCGTGTTAATTGTACTTAATTGAGCTTATTGTTTTTAACGGTTTCGTCTTTTTTTTTTTGGTGGTGGCAGGCAGGTGGCAACTTCAGATTTTCGGAGCATAGAGTGAGTGATATTCGTGGGACACGTTTTCGGGTGGGCTTTTGTTCTTCAAGAGTATCTTTAACAGAACAGGTCATTAAGTCTAAATTAAAAACTGTGTGACGTTGATGCTCGATAAACATCTAAGAAAAAATATTGATTCCTTCAAATGACTCGAACGGCTTTAAAAAGACTCGTTAGATAGCGATATACAATCCTGTTTTTTCAGCTTTAGCCTATGTGTATGAATTTATGCAATAATGAAGATCGAACAAATTAAAGTACATTGAACAACGCCCAGAAAAAAACCAAGCATTGTAGAAATAGTAGTAAAAATTTGTGTTGCTGCATTTTGTTATTGTTGGTATGATTGTTGTTATGTATATTTTTGGGCAAACAGCAGCAGAAGCAACGAAAACGAAAATTTGTTGTCCATTGGACGAATGATAAGTCGGCCAGATATGCCACACCCAGAACGCCCACAAATTGTGGTGCAGAACTAACAGCTCTTGCAGCGTATACTGATGAGCGACACACATACAAACACACGACTGATGATGTTGATGACGCTGCTGAAATGCCAGCAACAATAGCAACAGCAGCAGCAACAACAATAACAACAACAACAACTACAAGAGCAACAGTCAGCAGCGGAGAGGTGTTCATTTGTGCGAGGCAAAGTGAAATAGCAGCATGCCTAAAAGTATGCTGCAACATTTTTTGTAGCTCCCGCTGCGTGCGAGTGAATTCACAGTTGCCGTGTGTGTGTGTGTGTGTGAGTGTGTGTGTGTGGGTGTTCATATGTGTAAACTTTTTGTTTCTTTTTTAAGTACATACATATACATACGCATACGTTTGAATTTATGAGTGTGCGTGTGTGTGTGTGTGTGTGTGTGTGTGTGTGTAAGCTGCACTACTGAAAATTAGTGCGTTTCTACGCTCAAAAGCGTCTGCTGGGCTGCTGCTACGTTTTTAATTACCCACACTTGGCTTTTTTTCGGTGCTGCTTTGTCAGTCTCCTTGGTGCTGTTGTTGTTGCCAATGCAGCTACAGCTTCAATTGGAATTACTTCACTTGGCACTCACATCTGCGTTGTAGCAGCAACAGCAGCCACAGCAGCAGCAACATGAGCCACTATTTTTTTTTTTTCCTCCTTTTTAATGCCTTTGACTGGCCACATCTACGTATCCATATAGCATATAGAGCTACATTTTCACTAGTGGGCTGCCTTTGTATGTGTAAGTGTGTATAAGATATAGATGCAGTCAGCCTATCATGTTAGTGTGTGCTGGCCTTCTTTTCGCATATCAGTTTCTCTTTTTGCTGTGCTGTTTTAACTCTGTGAAAGGAGGGGCAAGTGTTATTTTTTCAATTTTTTTTGTGAGCCAAAAATTATGTAAGGGAGGCGGAGTGTAGATGTTTGACAGGTTGTAGCTGCTGTACTTATATGCCCTTCACTTTATGGTGTTATTAAATTATTTTTAAATTATTTGCGAGTGCTGCGCTGAGTAAAATCAATGCACTTAATGTGTGTGCTACAGTATGGATTTCCTAGTAAATCAAATATAAGTATGATGTTATATATAAGCTTACTCAGGCGAAGTTGAAAACAGAGTCCTAAAAAATAGGCAATCTTCATAAAGAATGTTTTGCTCTCATTTGCTCAAAATCCTACATGTATATTTTATTAGCATATAAATATTTCATATGAGTCATAAAAAAATAGGCGTAACCGCGCCCACTTTAAAAAAGAAAAACCGCTCAGCCTACATACATTTTCGGAAAAAGGAATTAAGTGAAATGCGCGCAAAAGCATGCAACGTTTTTTGCGACCACTTATTAGCGCACACACAACACATGTGTGTATGTGTGGGTGTGCGTGTGTGTGTGTGCCAGTATGTATGTATGTATGTGCAGCATACAATTTCTGCTGCCTCTTAAGCGCCTATCCCCAAGCATCACCCTCCGCAGCTCCACACGCGTAATGCCCCTTTATTATTTTTAACTGAAATTTTTTAGTTGAATTTGTTATTTTTTTTCTGTGTGTGTTTTGTTTTTTTTTTTTTCTTTCACTCATCTTTCCTTAGCGACCATGCTGTGCACTAACACAATTACACACGCACTGCATAGCCACTGAAGCACCGGACATGTCCAGTCCATGTGCAACGCAGAAAGGCGAAGGGTGCGAGGAGGCCCCTTCAAATAGCTCACACTATCAATTAGTAAAATTACATGCGAAAAACGAGCGCAAAATGTTTTGCCACGTTAGGGAAAAAATAGAAAAATTAAAGCAAGAGAAAATAAAAATAAAAAACATTCATCACATACACGCACACACACACACTTGCGCATATTCACATTCTGTTTATTAGTGTGTGTGTGCCTGTAATTCCCCTCATTTAATTAGCAATAAAAATAGGCTAAAAAGTCTAAAAAAAAAAAGTTAAAGCTGCAAGCGATTATGCATACATGCCGCACACACACATACTCCCACACACATAAACAAACGCACATGCAACACCCAGCACACAAACGCACACACATTGCAAGCGTGCCATTTGTCCGACAATTTTAACACGCGCCCCCAAGTAGGCAACGGTTTTTTGTCAAGCTGCGCAGCTCACTCACACACACACACACACGCATCCCAGTGTGTGATGCACACACACGCCCAGCACTGGGTATTAAAATTTTATCCGATATAATGCATGAATTATGTAAACTATTTTTATATTTATTTTTATTGTTGTCGTTGATTTTTGTTATTTTTTGGTTTATTTTTATGTTTTTGCAACTTGCTGTCCCAGTATTGGTGGCCCCTGCATATTACCATTGCCCCTGCGTATGCTTGAATGTGTATGTGTGTGTGAATGTGCTCGTGGGGTTTTGTGTGTGTGTGTGTGTGTGTGTATGTTGGTCAGAGGCCTTTGGCATTAGCATTTGGTTAATGTTAACGTGTGTCGCCCATACCTCTCACCCATTGTCATTGTATTTTTAGTGCGGTTGACAACAGAACACACACATACATATCAAAAAATCTATGACTTCTCTCTCGCTTCCTCAGGTAGTGCCATCTCTGTCTGCTGCTGGCTGCAGCTTGTTTATTTTTAATTTTATTATATGTACATTATTTTTCCAACGCATTGATGTGCAACGCGGGAATGTGTGTGTGTGTGTGTGTGTGTGTGTGTATTTGTCTATTTATGCACTCGGCCATTGCATTTAAGTGTTTTGTTTTGTTTTGCTTGTATTTGCAGATTGCATGAAATCATACATTTTTTCCCCCCAACACTCAGAAAATTGTTTTTAACCCGTCATCTAGTGGCTTTTTTTATTAATTTCAATTTTTTATTATTGTATCGAAGCTTTAGGCAACTTTTTTTTATTTACATGTACATGAACATATTTCAGTTCATGTTTTGCTTACTGCTTAAAACAATATAAATACTCAATGTTCAGCCATTGTTTGATCGAAATTTCAATAAAAATATTATTAAAATTCCGAAAAAATTACAGTACTTTCACCTGCTGATAGGACTATTGTTTTGCAAATTTGTTTAATTAACTAATCAAACCGTGTAAACTTTTCTAAGTTCTCCTTAAATAAAAGGGAGGTTTTGTGGACAATAATTAGGTTGGATTCAACATTTTTTTTAGTTGATTCTAAAATCTAAACTAAAATAAAAAACAAATGGTTAGTAAAATATATTTAATTTACCTTTAACAATTCAAGAATTTAAGAAAGCTTTCAGAACAAATCCGAGCAAAATATAGTTAACTTATTAAAATATATAAATATCAAAAAAATTAATTAATTGTGAGAGCTTCACTAGAGGATAACCTGAACATTGAAAACCTGAAGAATTCGATGTTCATTTCTATGTATGTAAACATGTTATATTACAAAATTTGATGTCTCAAGTTCAGAGACAATCTCTGGGGGAGAAGAACATGACTATCTCGACTCGCCTCTTGATGCTGATCAGGAATATATGTGCTTTATATAGTCTGAGATGGTTTCTTCTGCCTGTTACAAACTTTATCAAAACTTTATTATACACGTATAAAAATAGTTCTGATAAGCTGCAACTCAATCAAAATGAGAAATTACTGCTCATTCTATGTACAAAAATGGATCCACACAAAATTTTTTACTTGGATTATTTTGTAAAATAGAATGTGCAGCATGATTTTAAATTAGACTTCACTTTTAACTCATTAATTCTTATATTTCTCTTTTGCCTTGTATAAATAGACTTATTTTTAGTTTCTGTGCAGCTAACAACAATTTTCAAAATAAAGAAAATTAGTTGCTTCTTTAGTTAAATACCACCTCTGCTTAAAATCTGGCATCTGTTCTTTCCGCAAGCCATTTGCAAGGGAAGGATTTTAACGCTAAACATTGAACTCAAGTGGCAACTAAAAATAATTGTAATTATTATTACAAGCCATATACTCAACAGAATATATCCGTTACTAAGAAATCATGGCAAACGCCTCAGCCAGCAAGATTTACCTGTTATAGATAGAAAATCGTTAGACGAGAAACAAAACCCTTCATTCGAAATCTTACCATAGATCTAAAGTATGTTTTCACTGATTGCCAATGCAGGCTGGGTGAATAATTATTCTCACGCTTCCAGTCGTCATCATCCAGCGAGCATGCCGGCTGCAGCGGCTCTACCTCGAGGAACTGGGCCCAGAAACCAGGCGACTGGAGGAGCAGCATACGCAACACCTGCTGCCATAGCACAATATTGCTGAGATTCAGATCGACATCGTCGAAAAGCGTTGGTGCAAATATGACAGCAATATTGTTGATAGACATCTTCACGGCGGGACTTTGAGCAATGCGCTGCCAGTGCAGCATGAGAAACGCCAATGTATCACGATGTGCCTGTGGCAGCTCCACCATGGCAAAATAAAGTTGTTCCTCCGCGGCCAACACATCGGTTTGTTGTGCTGCCAGCACAAGGTCCTGTCTGTAGTACAATGGTATCAATGGGCGTTCCAGCGAGCGCAGGAACTCCTTCACACAGCAGCAAAGCGTGTGAGTATCCTTGTTGCCCAGATGTGGCATCGTCTTGCCACGCAGCAGCTTGTGCCGCAGACGTTTCACCTTATCCCTGGTGGAGGAGACGCGATAGAGACCCTCCTGTTCCAATCCACGCGCCTCAATCTCTGTCACACAGTGCACGATCAGGGCTGGCACCATTGGTGCCACGTGTGGCACAAAATCGAACAAACAGCCGAGCTTTCTGCTCACCAGCGGCAGTGGTATGCAGTTAACAGTTAGCAGCCTGCAGCATGAAACGTGGCAACGCACCGGACAGTCGCGACATTTTAAGCTTGCAACAGCAAATCGTAGGCTGCAAGTAACACAAATTGTCACATGGAATCACTTACCAAATGAGATCATTTTGTTTTTCACATTTACAAGTTTAAAATTAGTTAAATAATATTTGTATTTAATTTTTACAAGAATATATTTGCTATGAGCAAGTTTTTATCGCTTTTATTTGTAACTTGTCTTAACCAGCGTATATTAATTTTACCACATCTTATTTTGACAAAGAACATATTTAAATTCCTGATTGTTGTCACTTGTAACTAGTGATCTAAGTTGAGATTTATTTCCTGTGTCAGCTGGATCTGATTGATTGTACATTTGTACATACATATTTACTATCTGCATCAATAAATCGGAAGTAGTCAAAGTTTAATGAACGTAGGAGGAACTGAGGGACTAGTTCACATAGCCAAATACAGATGGACAAAAATAAGTTGTACACTCCTTATGAGTCTAAAGTCTATGAAAAATAATTTTAGTCAGTTGCTGTTGGTTGCAGCCTTATTCCACTATGGCTGTTGTGTAGCGTAATAAGCTATGACTTGCAATAGTTGCGTATATATTTTTTTCTTAATGGAAGCAACTCACCGTTTGTTGCACTGCACACAGTTGCCCACGTTGGAGTAATAGGACTTCAGCTTGAAGTTGTGATGACGCAGGAGCGGATAAGTGGGTAAATAAATAGACGAATAGCAATCGACATGCTGCAGCGACCCATCGTCGCTACCGTTGGGATTCATGTGGATGCGCAGGTGATCATCCTGCAGCGAGTCCATTGACTGCTCATCGTACAGGCGAAAATGTCTGCTCAGGTCACTATATGAATTATATTCACGTCTCATTCTGTCCATCGACTGCTCCGCTGGGCGTTGTGGCAACAAGTAAATCACTCGACTGCCTAGCACTCAACGTCAACGTCTGTTTTGTCCAGGTATCGGAAACTTCTGATACTTATCCACATCTACTTGTATGTTATTCGTTATATGTACAGAAATGCACATGTATATTGAATGCTCTGACTAAATCAGCTGTCACTTTTCATTGAGTCAGCTGCATGGCAAATATTTTTCCAGCAAAGGTTTACTTCACAGAATGTTCGCTTGCAGCTTGCTGCTTGTTGCTCTGCGACTGCGACAACTTGTCCGTCGTCTCAATAGTATATAAATTTGAAGTCGTGAACACAATTTCTCTGGAAAGCTTCAATTGAAAACATAAATAGCAATTCAATCGTCAGTTCAACTGAAATGGAATTTCTGCTATAAATCGAATACAACAATCATCGTAAGCACTTACAACAATTTATATACTTATCGCCAGATTAAATAATATAGGTACGATTTAACTATATAACTTATCTAACTTTAATGTTTGTATAATCAAACATTTTAGCATACATGGGCAGGGGAAGGCCCGCCAACATCTCAAGTTATGAATAATTACCTTTCCCTTGTTAGCTTATAAGTCTACATTTTATCCAGCACTCTCACTATCCAGCACTCTCACTATCCAGCACTCTCACTTTTTAGATAAGATTTGTTACTATTCCGTTAGTACAAGCCAATCACATATGTTTTCTGAGCAGCACATGCTTGATAAAACATGCCAGTGTTTAGAAAAACAGTGGTGTATCAGCAATCGCCTCTACGATTATTTTGATATCATATGACAGTTGGTGTAAAGTTTACTCTGTTCAAATATACAATTGAATCTTTTCAAAACCCAGACAGAGAAATTAATCATAATCATAGTTCCACTATATAAATAAATTAGATTATAGTTCCCACGGATAATCACAATGTGTTTCTTACTATTTTAGCTCGCTCCTATATCAATCAAATATTTTTAGATAGGACAAAGATCCTTATATTTAAATATTTAATTTCAAATGAAAATTGGTTTGTTTTAATAAATTTATTGACAAGCTCTGTTAAAATGTGTACCACAGATTGAATCGCAGCGTATATTTGAAAAAGAAAAAAGAAAAAGAAAGCTATTGTAATAAAAGTCAATGTCAAACCATTAAAATTTTTTTGAGATGACAACAAAATAATAAAAAATAAAAATGGAGTTTATTAAAAAATACGCTTTAAATACTTGTGCGACACTCTCGAGAATTCAATATCACACAGCGAAGAGTGGTGTAAAAAATCTGATGGGAAAACAATTTGCGAAAGTATCAATGAATTCTAAGCGCGTTGAAAATGGCTCAATGGCCGCGCTGAATGGATAAAAAATTCATGGAAAAACGTTTTGCGGCCGACAAAAACAACACGTCTAAAAAAGTTGGAAAAAATCAAGTAAAAAACACAACAACAAAATAGTAGCGTTAGATGTGCATATCAAAAAGCGAAAATGTTAGACCTAAGCGCAGTTCAAATAAAAATGAAATATTTTTTGTTCGATTTTGGGTTTTTGGTGTTGCATACTTGCCGGCGCAGCGTTTTGTCATCAATTTTTGGACGAACAGCGGCCACAGCGTTAAGCAGAGCATTCTCGTTGTTGTTGGCGCAGGAGGAATGCAAAGGGTGCGAATGAGGCCCGGCAAGCAGACAAAATTAACGAACGAGGCGGGCAAAAGGCAAAAGAATTTGATTTTTATATTTTGTTGCCGTTTTTTAGGCGTCAGTAGCAGACGCAGCAGCAGCAGCAACGTCGGCAGAGACAGCACTCATACGGTAGTGTGTGTGTGTGTGTGTACGAGTGATTGGATTGGATGGGGTGTCCGCATAAGTGTGCGAGTGTGTGTATGTATGTCTGATGGGCGTCGCATTGAATTCGTAGTTATTAATGCGTATTGAAATGCACATGTGCATATACGTGAATAAACCTACATAGCTCTCTCTATGTATTCGTTTGCTTGTGTGCGTATGTGTGTGTGTATATGTGTGTGTATGTGTGTGTGTGAGTGTGAGTGAGTGGCTCAAGTGTGAGTGTGAGTGTGTTTGAGTGTATGCGTCTGTTTTGTTTGTATTCAAAGTCCACAAACGCCAGTCACGCATCGGCATAAGCCCATGCAAGTAACCATAGCAAATGTGCGGGCTTTGCCCCCCCAAAAATAAAAAAACACCACACACCACCCAAACCACCTTGTCAATATGCATGTGTGTGCGTTTTCGACTGCCCACTGTGTTCGAAAACAACATCACAACAAAACAACTAAAAAAATCTGTGTGACATGGAAAAAAAAAATTTAAATAAAAAAGCGCAGCAAAGCAAAATGCAAAACATAACGTATAAAAAAGTACACTCATACGGAATTAAAAAAAAAAAAGAATAGAGGAAATGTAACATCAAAATCCACTGACAGTGTTGCCACGTGGTGTTAATTAATTTTTCACAAACACAAAAGATGCCACAGTTTTTCAAAAAGAGAATTTAATTGAAGGATTTTTTTCGGGGCACCAAATGAAAATTGAGCGGAAAGATGATAAATTAGACGGATCATGTGTAAATAAAAACGAATGCTAATAGTTAATGAATACAATTAAATTTTAATTAAAAAACAAATTATAATGTCATTCATTAGTTTTCAACAAATAAATTTTTCATGAATTTTTTTTAAATATCGTATTATTTTGTTAGGATGTACAAGGTCTGATCGTAAACGTTTTCTCTTGAAATTGTATACTTCAATTGACCTAGAAAACCATATTATTTAATATTAATAACTAAAAAAAACAACAATCTAAACTTTTTATTCGAAACTGCCAGTGAAATATTACATGTATTTATTACTCATTGCATTTAGTAGCCTCAATTGTCTAACCTAATTCTATAACACTAAAAACGTCCATTTATAATAAATACATTTTTCAATGGCAACTCTATGATTTTTTCCTGCGCTTTGTATCCCGTATTCTGAATACAAAAAAAAAAAAAAAACAAACAAATAAAAAACTAAAAAACAAAATCTAAAAGCAAAGGCAAATACAGCATGCAAAATACAAAAGCAATTTCAACAACACGAAGGAGGGGCGATTGAAGTGGCAAAATAGCGAAAAAGCAAAGCAAAAACAAAACAGAGATGAAAAAATACTGTTTTTGAGCGGGTCAGAAGTGCGGCGTGCGAGCGAGATGGCAACATGCAATGAAAAAAATTGTTTCCTGTGACAAGGCGGCCACAAAAAAAAAAGAAGAAGAGAAAACCTTTTTTTCGAAGGAGAGGCTGCGTGGAAAAAATGCACAGCAAATGGAAATGGAAGCAATGCAAAAAATGAAAAAAAAAAATAGAAAAATGCGCAGAGAGAGGGGCAAGTTGAGTGGAGTAGAAGTAGAGGCAAGGTTGCAGCAGCAGCAGAAGCAGCAAAAAAAAAAAAACTTAGGAATAGCAGCAACGTCGACGTCGTCGACGAGCAGCAGACAAACGACGGCTGCAGCGCAGCGGAATGAGTGCGCTTTGTGGCATGTCTGTGTGTGTGTGTGTGTGTGTGTGTGTGTGTGTGTGTGTGTGTGTGGGTGTGTGTATGAGCATGGAGCTTACTGCTGGCAGTTAAGCCACATGGTGGCTTAGGTCAGGGCGGAGGCTGCCTGAGGTGTGCCTGCCGCCGCTGCGAAATATTTTTTTATTTTTCAGTTTCATTGCGCTTTCAAGCTCTTTTTTAGCTGTCTTTTTTTTCTATTTTTTTTTTTTTTTTTTTTTGGTTTTCTCTTTGGCGTAATTCGACGCCAGACTGATAGAGTGCTCCAAGCGGCGGTTGACAGCACTGCTGCCTTGTATTAGTGGGTCCAGCAGCGTACGTGAGCAGCATTCACAAAGTGCTGTCTACTCTTGTGCGCATAGTTAAAATTCAATTTTAATTGATTAGAAATTAATTAATTATAATTAATAATGTATAATAATTGGTTCAATACATTTGTAGCTTATAAAGCCTGCCTCTTGGCAAACCAGCTAAATGCCAAATACCAAAATCAAACACAAATTGCAAAGTCAAACTGCAAACGGTAAAACCAAAATAATTAAAGTAAAATCAAATAAAACAGACAGCGTCAAAGTCGAACAAAACAAATTGCGAAAAAATTATCCGACTTTAGGTTTAAGGGGGCGGTTGCGTTTGTCGGTCGTGAACGGGGGCAAAGGCAACTGGCAGCAAATTTTTTTTTGGGGGCGGCAAAGGCTAACTCGACGCTGACTGCGAAAAAATTCCATGCGTTTGCAATCCTATGTATGTATGTGTGTGTGTGTGTGTATGTGTTGCTGCTGCTAAAGCTGTGTGCGTGGTCAAAATTCCCCTTTTTTTAAAATTTTTTACACACACAATTCTTTGGTTATTTATTCTTTTTTTTTTCGTTTTGCGCGTTTTTTAGAGCCCATCGGTCGGCTCCAAACTTGCCCCATTCCAAATTGAGTTTGGGTCAATGTTGACGGCGGCTGTTGCCTGCTGCTTTGTTGTTGTTGTTGTTATCGTTGTTTTGGCGCTGCTCTGTCAGGTGGCTGCGACGTTGGCAGCGCTGCTGCTGCGCTACGCGAAGCATTTGAATAGCGCCAGCAGCGACGCCGCCTATGCAACCAAAACATTTTTTTTTTCGCCTGCTGCTTTTTTTCGCTGTGTGTATGCGTGTGTCTGTGTGTGTGTGTGTGTGTGTGTGTGTGTGTGTGCGTGGCATTTTTTTGTCCGTTTAGTTGGTTGTTGTTGTCGCTGCTACTGTTTTTTATTTGCTTTTTTTTCGAAGTTGCTGCTGCCCATTTGTGTGTGTGTGTGTGTGTGAGTTAGCCCTTTCCCCCATGTTAAGTGTGTGTGTGTCTGTGTATTGTTGTTGTTGATGTTGCTGTTGTTGCCGCTGTGTCGGCCGGCGGCGGCCTTTAGTGAGCCTGGCTGCCACCCACCCACACACACACACACACACATACACACAACTACATTTCGCTGCTGCTGCGTTTTGAAACGCCGCTGCGTTTGTGTTAGTGCGCGTTTTGTCTGTCTGGCAGCCACCTCGTGGCTGTCGATGCCGCCGCCGCCGCCG